AGACGGGCTGCCAGGTGAGAGGCAACCTGTGCAGTCATCATGCAGTGTTGCACACTCGCAGCCTACTGCAGAGAAGACAGACAGGCCACGCCCATCGCCACAAACAGATTGTTGTGTAGATGATCTGTGTTTAGCAGCAGCGGTTTGGAGACTGGTTGCCTCCCACCAGCGACCGGTGCGATCAAAAGTGCAACATCTTCCATCTCTAGGTGACCTTGTTGCCTGGCGACATCTCTTTCCTCGTTGCTTTCCAAGCTGTCGAAACACAACGAGACCTTTAAACAAACGTCGTTTTTCAGGTGACGTTTTCGTGGCGATAAAACCACAGCTGATGTTTGTGGCTTTTTTGATGTGTTTATAACATGAAACCAACATTTTTCACATATTTTCTTGTTTTGTTTTGCAGCTTCATGGATTTGTCATCATGATATTCGCCCCGTCAGTCCTCCCTTATCTTCAGCCTTGGCCCCGCCCTCTTCTTCGCCACCTCCTGTCAGAGTTCTGGCCTAATGGCTGCGCAGCGTCATGGAGACGGCTGAGCACGAAGGGCCACGCCCCTCAGTCTGTGATTGGTCAGGACTCGGTGCAGGTGTTCGGCCAGTCATACCCGCGTGATGACTTCACCAACGTCACTCCAAAGATCTTGGAAAAGGTGGGCCGCAACCTCCACAACCAATCCCATCATCCTCTCTGGCTGATCAAGGAGCGCATCAAAGCTCACTTCTACAGGTAGGCAGCGAGTGTCGTCAGCCAGGTGTTCACAGGTTACCTGGGACCTGATGACGGCTCAGGATCCTCGTCTCTGCTGACAGCAGTGCGTCCTCCTCTCGTCTCTCCTCGTAGCGTTTCTGTTTTCGGTTTAAATGCTGACTAACCCTCTGCAGGCTCCGTGGCTCTCTGGGGACAGTCGAGTGTAAATTTGGCTGCAGTGAAATATCGTTAAAGCTGCTGCTGATTCTCGCCATCAGAAATCTAACACAGCGACAGCGAGCGCATTAATGCTGCATTCAGAAGTCATTAAGCAGTCACTGCGAGTGTGAGCTGACATTGGTTTATGGCTCTGCCTTTTAGCAGGTCGTGACCTTTAGTCTTTAGAAAAGCCTGCGTGCTCTGATAGCAGCAGATGACGAGGAGACCCCAGAGCTGCTGGGTGATCTCCACGCTGCTCCTCGCTGCTCCTCGCTGCTCCTCGCTGCTCCTCGCTGCTCCTCGCTGCTCCCACTCTCCCTCCTCCTTGTTCCCTCCCTGACTTACACCCTGCCCACCAGCCTTTGTTTGATCGATAAAACTTTAAAAACATCTAAAAAGCATTTAGTTTACGTTTATTTGTGACAAGGAAACCATCACATTTTTCATTGGCCACATTATTAGGTACAGCTCTATAGGTATTTGTAACCCACTGCAAACCCCTCTGTCACACACTTTCCACTCACAAAGGGCCCACGTTTCCAGTTTTTACTTTATAATTGAGGTTTGGGTGGAGTTAGGGAGGGCATGTTAGCAGGCAGCGAGAGAGGAGGAGGTGAGAGCAGAGACTGTTGTAGCTGCCGGCAGGAGGAGAGGAAACCTCAGAAGGTTCATGGGTGGAGTGAAGTGCAGAGGGTTGGTGTGACTGAGGAGGATGATGAGAGCAGCTGGAGGA